AAATTGCTGGAACTTCCCGTACCGTAATGAAATATTCGAAGATGTTTTCAAATATATTACTATAATATTGTAACTTTTATAATGTTTATTTAAGTTTTCATAAAAAGTTAATAAGCAAATCTGAATAAAGCGGATTTAGAACGAAAGAATTGGTCTCATATTTCTAAAAATGATAAAATTAAATTGCAAAGTTAAAATAATTTATTAGGAAGTATATAAGTGAGCTTTAGAATATTAGCTAGAATTAACATTAAAATCTATATTATTTTCGATTTCGTCAATACAAGCAAATGGTTTCGTCAATAGAAGCAAACGGTTTTGTGAATCATTCAAATCGGATGCTTCGTTCTCTCACAAACTACAACTTTTGGCACATTTAGTTCCGTATTTTCGAAACGGCTAGACCTGTCTTTGCCAAAACCTAACAACCATTTCTCTCCATCATTACGATTGGAATGTTTTTGGAATCATTCAAATCGGATGGTCTGTTCTCTCAAAAACTAGTCAGTTCTCCTCATCAAAAAAATCGAATGTTTTTTGAATATTTCAAATCGGTTGATCCGTGCGCCCAAAATCGTGAACAAAAAATTGGGGACACAGAAAATACACGCACGCATCCGTTTTTTCATAACAAACTTTTAGCAGTTATAATTTTGATGGCAATTTATTACTGATAATTTAAGTGTGAATATTACCAATTAAATCGTGGGGTGGTTATGAATATGAAAGTATAAACTCCACTTGTATAAAAATATATAAAATTTATTGATTTTGAAAATTAATATCAGAAAGACGAGTCCAATTGTTTTTTTCCTCCAAGTCTAGCCTGCTTGATTTCCCCACAAAATAAATATTTTGCTGCAAAATTACTTTTGATGCCATGATAAATAAATATTTCGATAAACAGCATACATGGATTTAATTAAAGGTTAAGTGAATTACAAATATTTTTAAGTATCATAATATTTGAGATCACAAATGCTATCATAGGTTGCGCAAGAATTTACTTAATGACATATGTTAATAATAAATACGTGAAACTTTTAATTAAAGTGCGGACTACATAAATGTTAATATTAACAGCTAAAACTATTAGAGATTTATTTTTTATTTATTTGGAAGCATTTGAGCCCTTGGGAGCAAAGAAATTCAAAAATGACCAGATTTAGGACCACCCTAATATATACACATAAATACACTTACAAAAATATTACTATTAATTTCCTTCATTAAAGATATTTTAAGGATTTAAATCTATAAGAATAAAAGAATATAATTAAACTAATACTTGGTTAAAGCTACTTACAAGTACGCAAAATAATCCCTTGACTTAAATTCAGTTTAAGAAGAAAAAAGTCAACAGTCTTCAATAATCATTGCTCTTTTTTATTTTGATTTAGGTCTTGTCATCCTAGAATGTACGAAAAATTCGAGAAATAATCATAAATAAATCCTCTTACCAGTATTTACCGATAATCCCATAATCCTCTCTGTTTAAATAATATTGCTGTCAAAGCAAGGAAGGACACATTCGATGTTTTATGACGTCCGAAAATTATATTATCTTTTATATAATCTCTTGCACAGGTAGGTATAAAAAAAGATTTGTGCAGCGCTAGTCAAAACAACTTTCATGAGAACGGATGAAATATGATGTTTTAATATATAAAATATATAAAAACTAGTTATTTTTCTCTTTTAAAGTAATAATCTAAAATTACAAAATTTTTGTGAATGAATTTATTTTCAAAATCGATCATATTACGCCCCTAAGGAATAATTGTGTACACTATGTATTGTGTATACACAATATAGGTGAAACTTGATGCAAGAACATAATATAATTTTGAATTGTAGAAGAGCTTCATGTAGGTTGAACTATTGAGTTATCAAATTACACACCTAAATATTTTTTTCTGGCAAATATTTCCGTTTCAAATAATCTTGTTTATGATCAAATCTTTCTGCCAAATTTTATATGAATATACATCTTTGTAAGTTTTCTTCTCTATTGACATGATTGAATAACTAGTATGATTATATTTTAATATTTCATAAAGAATCATTCCTAAATAATGTAATAACTAGTGGTGCATGGCATCGTACCTTAGGCCAAATTGCTGAAACTTCCCGTACAATTTTTTTTTTAAAAAGATTAACATTTTTTTTTAACTTTGAAAAATCAGATTTTTGAAAATTTTCAAATTTTTGAAAAAAAGGACTGTAAAAAAATAATTTTTTGAAAAAAAATTTAACTTTTTTTCAAAGCAATCCCTCTGCTTAAAATTTATATGTATTATTAAAATCTCCATAAAATATCTAATAATTTGACGTGCATTTGTCTATCATTTTTGGCCGTTAAAATGGCATTTTTTCACTTTTTTACTAAATCTCCGAAACCGCTAGACCCGCCTTCCCAAAAATTTAATCAGTTATTCATCTTGTCAATACAAATAAAATGTTTTTTGAATTATTAAAATCGGACGCTCCGTTCTCTTAAAAACTGAGTTACCGTTTTCGGCACTTTTTGCCCCGTATTTTCGAAACGTCTAGACCTGCCTCCGCCAAAAACTAATCAACACGTCTCCTTATTAATAGGAATAGAATGTTTTTTGAATGATTGAAATCGATTAAACCGTGTTTCCGAAATCGTGGACGAAAATTTGTATCCGAACACACACCCACACATACACCCATTTTTTTAAGGTATGCCAAAATGTTCAGAAATCTCTGAAACGTAAATATATATACAAATTTTCATATCCGATTTTTTTGCAATTACGGGAGGTTAAAAAATAAAAAATATTATTGAAAATATAATGTTCTAAATATTTTGAAAGCAAGTTTTCATCATTATGAATCAAATGATAAATAGACAATTTCGAGAAAATATATCAGATAAAAATATGGCATTGATTATTACAGTATTGTTATTATATTACATTACAATTTATTATATATAGTATATTTAAAATTTTATTGAATGAAATGAAAATTTTAACCCTTTCCACTCGGATGCCACCACTCCGGCGGCAAAATTCATATAAATCTCGGATTTAGCGAGTGGAAAGGGTTAAATGTTAAAAGCTCGCTGCCTCACACAATCTTCTTTGTCATCAACATTTTGAATATTTATCACGTGAAACATAATTCAAACATAAATCATGAAGATATAATTCCGGTAATACAAGAAAAATAGAATCGTATCGAAGAAAATTTCATTTCAACATTCTATTATAACTATGGGCGGATTGGTTATATTAAAGTAAAAATACTTAATAGAATTATTATATCCAGTAGAAGTCCTTTAGTCCGGCACCTAACAGTTTGAAATGCCCGATAGTCCGGCATTTTTTTAAAAATTTCGTTTTTTTTTTCAAAAATGTGCCTTTATGCAAATAAAAATGCTTGAGAGCTATTAGAACGTTTTTTTAATTATTATCGTAATTGTAATACAAAGAAAATATAATATTCGCATAATGAGATTCTAATAGGAACAGAACTACATAAAGCACTTTTTTCATGTCAGACTTCAGACTATACCGAATCGTATAAATCTTTTTCTTGGACAAAATTATGAATAAACAAACTATTGTGTTCAGCATTACGCCTGATTGCCTAACAGTGTGACAAACGAAACGCATAATTAATCCAAACTATGGATCAAAATTTATGTTCCAATGATAAATTGAATTATAAACTAGCTGTAAGTAGAATTCTGTCTTGAGGCAATTATGGCATCGTGCCTTAAGGCAAATTGCTGGAACTTCCCGTACCGTAACGAAATGTTCGAGGAATACTGAATGTTTTCAAATAGATTATTATAAATATTGTAACATTGTCTAATATTTATAAGAATTATATAAACTGAATTGCAAAGTTGAAATTATTTGTAAAGTATATTAGAACTATAGTCAGAATTAAAAATAAAATCTGAATTATTTTCGATATACAAAAAATTAAAAAAAAAAAAAAAGTTGAATTTTTTTTCCAAGATCAATTATTTTGTTAAGACAAGCAGAAAGTTCTTTGAATCATTTAAATCGGACGCTTAGTTCTCTCAAAAACTGCCATTTTTTACATATTTAGCTCCGTATCTTCAAAATGCCAGGACCTGCCTTTGCCAAAAACTATTAAACACTCCTCCTAATCATTAATTGAATGTTTTTTAGATCATTCAAATCGGATACTCCGTTCTCTCAAAAAGTCGATTTTTATTTTCTGCACTCTTTGCTTCGTATCTCCGAAACGGCTGGGCCTGCCTTTGCCAAAAACTAATCAGCTCTTTTCCCTATTAATAGGAATCGAATGTTTTTTGAACCGTTCAAATCGGTTGATCTATGCGCCCGAAAACGTGACTGGAAATTTGTATCCATACATACGAGTACACACACACACACACACACACATCCATTTTTTCTGAGGTATGCCAAAATGTTCAGAAACCTTCAAAACGTCGAGAAATGTAAAAAATTTCAATTCCGATTTTCGGCCCATTACAATAACTTACCCTACGGGAAGTTAATAAACTCTAAATTTATGTAAATAACAAAATTAGAAACAAATGTCTTATCAAAAAGTTACCTTTTTACAATGCCGCTCATTGAACCAAACTGACAGCTCTTGACAACGGACGTTGTGGAAATCGACGTTGAAAAACTTGAATACTTTTGAATGCTTAATAAAAACTTGTATATTTATCATTGATAAATAAAAACTTAAAGCATACAGAATTATATGCATTCTAGAGAAAAAAAAGATATCCCCAGGATATATTTATTATTATTGTCTGAGGTCTCCGGGGTAAATGCAAGAAATTTATCAGGACGCAGAAATTATTAGTGTTGCCAGCTGTGAAAAGAGAGATTTTAATGGGTTAAGAGTTAAGTTTGATCAGATCACCGAAGTTGACAGTTGGTAAGACCTTCGTGGGTGTGCCGAGCCTGTTTACAGTTTATGATAAAACTTCACAATTATATCTAATCTCTTCAAATGTCAATTTGATAAATGTGGCTGTGTGACTAATGAGGCGTTAACTTTATAATTTTGCATGAATAATGAATGCGTATAATTTTTGATACAATTTTATTAGTATTTCAAATAAGTTATTACTTTGTCAATTTTGGAGATTTGTGTCGACGGACCAGAGTCCACGAATTTCCCTTTGTTCGATACTGAGAAATAAATAAATCTTATTATTTAAAATTAGTTATTAATTTAGTTCCATAAGTAAAGTATTAAAAATAACAATTTTAAGATGACTCAGAGACATACGTTTGGTGTAAATCCAATTACTTGCCATGCTTGGAATAAAGATAAAACTCGTAAGTAGAAATTATATGAAAATCGATATATTATCAAAATTAAATTCAGCCCTAATGATAGCATATATTTTTCATATTTTGAAACCTTTTCTTTACCATGTGTACTTGTACTTGTGTGATACATATAAGAGTAAATATTTTATTTTGATACCTTTTCTTAACAAGGTGTACTTGTACTTGTGTGATACAGATATTATTTTCAGAATTTGCAATGTCGCCAAATAATCATGAGGTTCACATTTACAAGCAAGATGGCCAGGATTGGAAGTTATTAGATGTTTTAAATCAACATGACTTACGTGTCATGGGCATTGACTGGGCTCCAAATACAAATCGTATAGTTACATGTGCCGTAGATCGCAATGCTTATGTTTGGACACAAGGTGATGACAATAAATGGAAACCAACCCTTGTGTTATTGAGAATAAATCGAGCAGCAACATGTGTTAAATGGTCCCCGCTAGAGAATAAATTTGCTGTTGGTTCAGGTGCAAGAATCTTATCCGTTTGTTACTTTGAAAAAGAGAATGATTGGTGGGTTTCTAAGCATATTAAAAAACCTATTCGATCAACAATTACTGCTTTAGATTGGCATCCCAACAATGTACTGCTTGTAGCAGGTTCTGCAGATTTTAAAGTCAGAGTATTTTCGGCTTACATTAAAGACATTGAAGAACAACCTACCCCTACATCATGGGGTAGCAAAGTAACATTAGGTAATATGTTAGCAGAATTTGTTAACTCCACTGCTGGTGGTGGTTGGATACATAGTGTTAGTTTCTCTGGGGATGGAAACAAGATTTGTTGGGTTGGTCATGATAGCACCATAAATGTCGTAGACTCTTCTAAGGGAAATGCTGTGTGTAAACTCAGAACAGAATATTTGCCATTTATGGTTTGCCAATGGATCACAAACAAATCTATAGTCGTTGCTGGTCATAGTTGCTTTCCTTTACTTTATACATTAGATGCTACTGGCAATCTGAGCTTTGCTGCAAGATTGGACACTTGCCAGAAAAAAGAAGCCGGTGGTATTTCAGCCATGAGAAAATTTCAATCTCTAGACAGACAGGCTAGAATTGAAAATTTTGATACTAACTTAGAATCAATTCATCAGAATGCAATTACTTCACTATGCTTACACAGTGGAACTAAAATAAATGCTACAAAAATCAGCACATCTGGTTTAGATGGTCAGTTGGTAATCTGGGATTTACATACAATTGAAAAGGCCATTCAGGGTCTGACAATATCTTAAATCTTTATTTTGCATTTTAAAACTTTTTCATGACTACATATTTGAATATATAAAATGATTTTTATAAATAAATAAACATTGCAATTTTTACATATAAGATATAAATTAGTTTATGTTTATGTCGTAAACTAATTTAATGCATTAATTACCTTTATATTAGGTTCTATGAATAACATGGTGAAACGAATAACTTTCATTACTAGTACGACTGTGTTAATGAAACAAGTGCTTTCTTTGCCAGTTGTTAGTCCTACTGGTATTAGAGGTACACATTTTATACAGTAACAATGCTCATAATTTATAGTAATAAAACTTGTCTCAATAACATTTACCTATGACTTAATGATTATAAAATGTTGCCAACTATGAAAGTGTGAACCACGGAAATAAATGCTATATATAAATATACATATACTTTTATTTTTATAATTTTATCACCATCTTCCTTCTCTGTATAAACTATTATATCTAATTAACTACACTAATACTATTATATATTTATATATACAATTTGTATATATTATTTAACATCCATAATGTACATAATAACTCTTGTTAGGGCACCAACATTCATTATAATAATAAAAAATCTTACGCTTTTTGTTATGAAGGAGTATTTGATGTTATTGAAAACACTGGTCCAATTCTCAAAAACACTCGCCGAAGCACTGATCGCAATTCTGCCTTTAGGTCACAACATGTAATTTCACATAGTAGATTGTAATAACTTGAAACATGTGCAGCAAACTAAAAGTGATAAATTCGATTAGATTGAAACTTAGCTCTTGAAATATTTTCAATAAATTTGGTAATAATTTAACATAAACATACTAGGATATTGAAATTCTAATATTCCATTGATTTTAATATTACTTTTTAACTAAATTATTAACTTCCCGAAGGAGAAGTTTATGTTATCATAAAAAAATCCGATTCGATAATTTTATGTTTTCTCTAGAAAAAAGTGTTAAACTTTCAGTCCACATTTAAGCTCATACTACCCAATAGATTTAAAAAAATCAAAAATTGTTCGAAAGATATTAGTTGGGAATTATACTGATTAGTTTTAGGTGAAAATCTACCGAGCCGTTTTTTTATAATTTAAGCTGATTTCTATGGAACTTTTTTTGGCGATATATATCATGGTCTTATAGAACTCACTGAAATATTACGGCCTTACGACGACAAGTAGTTTAATTTTAAAAATTCATCAAAGTTTGAGAAAATCAGTATAGTTTTTTTTGATGTTTGTTAAAATTAAAATTAGACGATTTACTTGGTATAACGATAGAGTACTTGGTCTTAATAAACATACTAAACCATTAAAGTCCTACAGAAACTGGTTCAAATATAAAAATTGTTGATTTTTGAAAATTTGCTTTTAGAAAAAACTCCGAGTTAACGTGTTCGTTCGTTTTCAATTATGTGTAATCAATCCACTCAGAATACTTTTAATCACTCATAAATTGATTTATTTTTTATTGATTAAGTCGATTATTTACACATATCGGAAAGTTCATGTAACTTGCTTCTAGGCAAAATACAAATACCAACTAGTTTTTCTTTCAATTCATGCTTTAAGCAAAAGATCAAAGCGCATCGAATTTTAAAGTATTTGATACATTAATACTTTCGCAATTTTACACTAATACAAAATTACTTGTGTCATTCCTCAATTAATTTTTTACATTTTATGATATGTAAACAAGAGGCAATTGGTTGGATCAAAACTTCTCAAACAAAAAATTGTGCTGAATTCTTTACACATGAACTTAAAATATAAATGATCAAAATATAAAAAATTACTTACCCTATCATCTGGCATTTTCAGTATCCGCATCAAAATAAGCAGTAATATGTTTGTCCAAGCGTCCCTATGGGATTCACTTTGCAGACTCAAGAAATATTCTAAAGCTTCTTTAGAAACAATAATAAGCTGGGACTGAACTTGTGCCCAATCACGCCTTCTAGCCTCATCTCCATACATTTTAAATAAAATTCTCAAAACGCATGCCAATGATTGAGTCTCTTGTTTCATAAGATTTGGTTTGATGGATCCTTTAAATCCGGCTCTCCACAACAGATTTCTTTGTTCGTGATTGGCATTGAATACTTTTGCAAATCTATGACTTTGCATTAAGCATTCTGTAAGTTGAATTAGGTGTGGAGAGCTCAGGAGACGATACATCCCTTGTTCTTCTCGTTGGCATTCTGCTTGATTGTTGAGACCCCCCGACATATCTGCAGCCGCCAGTGCTAAAGTTTCGGCATCTTCTTTGCGCGATGTTGCTGGAAAGAAAACAATATCGTCTATGGTTTGGATTAATTCTAATTGAACAACACATTTTATCAATAACGCTGAAAACACATTATTATCACAATTGATTTTGGTGTCTTCGGAATGTAAGGAATGTTGACTGCTAGATTTCTTTAAAATCCCTTGTCTCACTTCTCCGTTTTCTAAAGGTTTTTGTGCAGCTTGTGTACTCTGCACATTGTCTGATGTCCATGTGAGCAAATCGGACGGAATGGTGCTATTGAATATATCTAACATACACTGGCACGTTTTGTCCCATGTTTGCTCCGTAAATTTCAAACCATTTGATATGACTAGGTTTTCCAAACAGTTTGTGCCTGATCTAGCTAATTGCTCATTATTCTGCTGCACGCACCAATGGAGTTGTGTGTACAACTCTTCCAATAACAAATCACCTAATACATCGAAGTATTGCGTGAAAACATCCACTATGGCATATAAAGCATGGTTACATGTCGTTGTCATCCATTCAGCTTTCTCTGTATGCTGTTCGGGTAGTTTCATGTTGTCAAAGATTCGGAATAAAATATTAAACAAATCACGCCACCAATGGGGCTTGTACGCCTCACCATGGGTTTTAACAATTTCAAACAAAACCGTCAGACCTCTTGTCCTAACGTCTAACTTACATCTATTTACTATACATGATAATGAAAATAGTAGCGGAAACCATCCTCTAACCCAAACTCTGTCTTCTTCCGATACTGATATATCCGCTTCCATTCCTGCGTGTTCCGCGAACAAATGTGGCGACGAATGAACACTCAGTGCGCAAGTTCTTACCAGTCTTATAGCCTCCATGCTAGTATCAGGAAATCTAGCATTGCAAGCAAATTCAGACAAACATTTCACAGAATCCTGAAACGAATCTATCATGGCCGGAAACTGTTTTTTATACAGTTCTGTGATAATCTTTCCAGTCGTTTGGAAAGCTAGTTCCACAATACCTTCAATGTGATCGCCGGCTGCTAGATAAAATACAGAAAATATATTTTTCCAACCTGATCGTATATTATGTGCCTGTGAATGTACCATTTGAGTTACGCAACGTACAACCATATCTCGTATAACTGGAGAATTATTCTTCTTCATTATGTGTTCGAACGGTCTTAAAAAGTCTTTCTGGAAACGGAAATTTGCGAATTCACCTTTCTCAATAAATTTCATAGATAATTGCCTTAAGGAATCAACGGCAAAGAACGATATTTCTTCACTAGGGTTACATCCCACGGCATTAAAGTGATCTCCGAGCACTTGCCAGATTCTGGACCATTGCAAACGAATACGTCCCATATTATAATACGATATTTCAACAATTTTTTGTAAAGAAAACATCCTGGTATGAGTCAGTTCATCAACAGAAACTTGACATAAAGCTTTTACAAAATCAACAATAGCGTCTCCATCCAATCTGGTAGACCCTGTGAAAATGCGATCAACAGCTACAACTACACTTTGAGAACTTGTTTCCCCTATATGTTCCTTTACAGTAGGATCTAAAGTATTCAGGCTAAAATCAGGTGGTTTATGCGACGAACCAGATAGGTACTGAGGTCTTGCACCTGTTCCTATTAGTTGAGCCAATTCTAATTGAGATATACATTTTAAAATATCAAGCCAGCTTGTTCCCAAGTAATTACCATCCGTATGAGCCACTGTTATTAAAGTTTTTATAGTGTCAATATTCTTAGCTTTCATTTCAGTTATTGGTGAATTGGCTGTTAATAATGTAAAACGTGCAAGAGCTTGCACATAAGCATCTCTTTCCAATGACATGTGGAAAATGCAAGCAATTCTTATAGCACATCGAATTCCATCAAGACATAATGATGCAATTTCTGTATCATCACAATCCTGAAGCCCAACAGAAAAAGCTGCCAAGAAAGGTGTCCACGCCATTTTGAACATTGGTCGAACATGTTCTAAATGTTTAGCAGAAGTGAATGGAGTTTGAACATGTGAAACAGATTCCATTAAATTTTTAGCAGCAGTTGATATTACTTCCATTTCCATATTCCATAACAATTTACGTTTCTTTTCATTTGCGATGATTTGTTTTCCTGGTTTATTTACCACAGATTTCATCTTAATTTCATGACCAGCAATTTCGTCATAAATTTGTGATAGATATTCATCTGGCAAATCCTTGTTGTCACTAATTCCTCGATTCAATTTAATATATTGTTCTTTTGTCATTTTATTTTTAACCTGCGGGGAATGTAGATCTGTTGTTAACATAATTACTGAAAACGCTAGAACATAAACAGTGTCTGCGCTGGCAAACAAGCCGTTATTAGGATTGCATTCGCAATATCTACTTGCAAACTTCTCCATCAATCTATCAATTTTTTGAGCTTCTCCTGGTAACCTAAATCCTTCAAGAAAATATCTTAATGAAGCTACAATGTCTTGATCTGCAAAATCCATGGCATCTATATACGCACACATAACTGATTTACAATGATCATCATTTTCTCCTAGATAATCACCAATAAAAGTTTTATCCAGTCTATCATCAGTGTGCAACCAGTCAGCAATATCAGAAATCGATTCTCCCAAAAATCCTTGTTCTTGTAAAAATAATACACCTTTTTTTGGCTTTCTATTGAACATATTTATACCAGTTTCCCAAATTTCCTTTTGTTGCTTCAAAACCTCAAGTTGTTCAGGAGAATCTAATATTTCTTTATTACCAATTATACTAGAGCCTTGGGAATTCAAGCTGACCGTTGAGCCACCATGAGATTTTAGAGTACTAGAATTATTATCAGGTTCCAAATCCTTATTAGATTTGGTCGCTCCAAGTGTGGTTTGAGAATTGGGATTAACATACAAATCCTTGCTCCATTCAACCATACATTTCAAAATAGAAACTAAACATTCTAATCCACGTATTCTCATGGTTTTCTCTTGAATCGGAGTGGCACCTAATTCCAATGCTTGTCGCCCTTGAGCAATTTTTGATAAATCATTCACGAGACGCTCAAATAAGTTTGCTGCAGACAAATCACAATCATAGTTTACATAAATATCTACAACACTCTGCGCATCTGCACAAATTCTTGTCAGAGCTTGAATAACCATCCACTTGTGATCAAATGATGAGCTTGTGGTCTCAAGAATGTTTAAGAATATCTCCTTAAAGAATACTTCAATTTGCATTTTTAAATGAGTTTTGAAATTTGATAACAATGCTAAAAATATAGAAAGCGATAATTCAAAAACTTCTGGTACTGAGCTTACACCATTTTTAGATAAGGCCACACAAAGATATTGCTTAATTGCTGTTATGAACATTTCATTATTGCGAAATACTGGTCCAGCACTTTGGAGTATAGATAGCAGCAAATGTAAAGACAAGACTTTTGATCGTAGTTCATGTGATTTTGGATCAGGAACTCCTTCTGGTAGAGCTTTCATAGATAACTTGCAAAGTGCTCGAAAAACAAGGAAAGCGTCTTTTTGCAAAATATGTGTAAATTGTGCAGTATTTATGCTATCATTTTCACTATGAGTATCCATACTCTCTTGAGAAGGTATGCGACTTATGTTATTCCCGATGCTGCCATTCATATCCAGTGAACTTGTATCACATTTCTCATTAACATCCGTTTCAGAAGAAGAAATTTCATTTATAGATGTATTTGTTTGATTGCTTTCATTTAAATTTTCTTTTACCTCAATTCTACTATCACATTCATCTTTATGATTTTCATGACAAGTATTATCTGGTGTTTGTTGTTCATTATTCACTTCTAAACTTTTTGATTCACTTCCTGTAGAAGGCACATTATCACTTAAATTCACAACGTTATTAATAATTTCATTCAAAACATCTATGACCACATCCTCTGCAGTAATGCCATTTTCACTTTCATCAACATTTTCATCAGTTTTAGTTTGAGGTACTTCAAAAGCTTGATTTTCCATACGTGTAAAAATAACATTCAACATTTGCTGTAAGGTGGCACGGGCTGTAGTTTGGTTAATTAAGTTCTTACTAGCTAAATATATATTGTAACAAGTCCGCACAGCATCTAAAACCGTTCCTTCATGCACTTCAACATGCTGAGATGTTACCACTGTGAGCAATGCTTTTATTATTTGTAATTGTACACCTTCATCTGTTTGAGGGCCAGTAAAACATAAACAAATAGTTTTCACAATCCGATCTATTAGATATTTCCCAGGAGCAGTGGAATCTGGTATGTTTCCAGTAAGATGCCCATATGCGATTAGTTTTTGGAGACAGTCTAAAGCCGTGACAACAATTCTGGATGATTTACTCTGGCATGCCAATTCAAAAGGCAGAAAATACTTTTCTGCATTTATGATATTTGAATCATTTTTTGGTAGAGGTAGTGTAGCTGATGAATTAAGAGTTGTATCTTCTCCTCCATCTTTTAATTCTGTTTTTATTTCACCTAATCAAAAATAAATTCATTAAAATGAGTATTACTTAAAACTAAAGACATAAATGGCAAAGAAATGTTAAACAAAAACTTATAGCAGATTTTATTGACATTTATTGTAACTATGGCAATAAATTGATCATAACACACTTTTATGTCTACAATCATCATAAATTCAAATAAAATGTTGACATCAATTGCAGATTCTAAAATTTAAGACAGGATTTGTTTAACACAAATTTGTATAAAGTACAAAAATAAACTAAAAGAAAACTATAATAAAGTGTACAATATTGAATAAATATATAAATTTAATATTCTATAACACAAGTATTTTACCTAAAGCTAACTCGCAGGCTCGTTTTAATTGAGAATGATGTGATCTACGAATGTCCTTATCCGCAAGGATTTTTTCCAAAGCTCGAACTATAAACATTTCTTTTGTTTTTAAATTTGTTTGCATGTTTTACTACGTCAAATTAATTTTTTATATTTAAATTAGTGTTTAATCATCATAATCGATTTTCATTACAAAATAATCTATTAATACGTATACAAGTATTCTTATTAGACAATCGTCGTGGTATGCAGACATTTACATGGCCATTTTCACTTTCACGAGTTACGTAGCACTTATCTCAGACACCTGCATTGATTTTGTATAACATATGCCCCATTTAATTATCTGTACAGATGTCTTAAAAAATACATGATGTAAACTATAAGTGATCTTAAATAAAAAATCATATCTGTCAAAAGTAGATCATGTGTCAAACTAGCCTGAAAATTTAAGTTTTCTCAATCTGAGAACGACAAACCTGTTTTGATGCTTATGTTGGTGAACATGGTAGATAAAATTTAAAAATGGAATTTTTAAATTTTATTGGACTGGTAGATCTAAATCATCTTAAAAAATTAACTAGTAGTGCATTGCATCGTGCCTTAAGGCAAATTGCTGGAACTTCCCGTACCGAAAGCTAACTAATTAAAAAAAACTTTGCAAAACTTTGAAGGAATTTTGAGAAATTATGAAATTTTTGAGAACATTTGACTTTTTTGAAAAAAATATTTTTTTTATATCTTAATCTTTTTGTATTTTGATTTTTTTGTCAAAAATCGCACTGCATTGCTGATTTGGAGTCGAAATATCAAAGCGCGTAAGCGCCGCAAAGTCTAACGTCAACGTGTAAATATTTGGTACAGAACCCATATAAATGTACACAAAATTTGTACTTATTTTGTAATCTTTATAAAATATCTGATGATAAGATGTACATATGTCTAGTCTAATGTTCATTTTTGACCGCCAAATGGCATTATTTTTTACTTTTTTTGTTGGATCTCCGGAGACGCTGGGCCTGTCTTTCCAAAATTTGTACCAGTTGTTCATTTCTTCAGTACAAGTAAAATGATTTTTGAATTATTAAAATCAGACGCTTCGTTTTCTTAAAAACTGAGTTTTCGTTCTTGGCACTCTTTGCCCCGTATCTTCAAAACGTCCTCTTATCAATAGGAATCGAATGTTTTTTGAATAATTGAAATCGGTTGAGCCGTGCTCCCGAAATCGTCGACGAAAATTTGTATCCGCAAACACACACACACGCACACACACATGCAATCCATCCATGCATCCATTTTTTCTAAGAATAAGGTAAAAATATATAAAAATATTCATTTTCGTTTTTTTTGCAATTACTAAACTTAGCCTACAGGAAGTTAATAAAACATCACATACATTTCATGTGCTAGAAACGCTCTGTTACAATAGTATTGGCAAGAAAGATCAAAAATAATCTTTTAATTCCCATAGTAAAAATAACATTAATTAATCAAAGTTATTCACATGCAGTAAACATATAATGTTTACAAGTTGATTTCGGTTACTCCTGCTAAATAAATTGAAATAGTTAAGAATGATATAACTATTATACTTTCGATATTATACGATATTATACTTTCACAACTCAGTATTAAACTGATTATATTTTATTATATTATATTATTAATCAGTAAACTGATTATATTTTTTATCATTTTAAAGGTCTCATTATCATGAAAATAAGACATTTTTTTTTTACAATTTAGTTTTAACACAAGAAGTACAGAAGAACAAATATTATAATTCGACTTAATAGAAGATAAAAGTAGAAGTACATATATGTACATAATATTGTCTAATAGATAAACTTTGTTTAATATGAAATGAAACATATTCTTATTTAGCAACTGTGCTGATTTGTTTTATTTAACAATTATATATTTAGTTTCACAGACAGATTTATAAACATGTAGAGTTTATTCCAATAAAACTATATTGCATATTTACACTTTAGGTTTTGGAGCCAATCTTTTAACCATTTTTTTCTTTCTTAATTCGCCTTTATTGATACTCTTTTTCTTCTTTTTCTCAGATTTAGTACCTTCAAAAACAGTTTTTCCTTCTATTTTCTTATCTATTTTTGGCTTTTTACTAGAATCATCAGACTGATTACTCAAAGATTTTCTTTTCAAGTCTCTCTGTGTACGATTTCTTATTTTATTACCAAATTTGTCACGTTTTTTCATATTGTAAGGTTTATTTAAGTTTTCTTGAGATATAGGCTTTCTATTCGGATTAGCTTGTATTCTTTTAATTCTAACAGGCCTGTCCTTAATCAGCGTCCCATCTAATTTCATTGCTAACTCAACTGCATCAGTTGTTGCAAAATTAACATACCCAAATCCTTTGCCCATGCTTGTTTTTTTGTCTCGCACAATTCGTACTGATTCTATTTTCCCACAATCATTAAAAGCAGTCCACAAATGGTCTTCCTCTGTAGAAAAATCTAGATTTCCAATAAATATAGCTTTAGTATTATCATGCAATCCCTTTTCATTTGTCGCCATATCAACCCTCAAGTGATGTTCTTCGATAACAGTTCCATTGGCTTCCAAAGCTTTGTTTGCTGATTCTTCTGATTTAAAACAAACAAAAGCATTAATATTTGTACGTTTTGGATGAAATTCTTGCTTGATTATGGCAACTTTCTTAGAAGTTTTTGGATCTGCTACAGGTGCATTACGAAATCTTACAGATTCAACTTCTCCGTATTTTACAAACAATTTTTTCAGTTGTAATTTCTTTAGACTATGAGGAAAATTACCAACAAAAATAGTCCTTTTTAAAGCACTATCATCAGCTGAATTAGCTTTAGTAGGTGTTGTTTTCTCAGTACTTTCATCATCATCCACTTCTTTTTCTTTATCATTTTCAACTGTTTCATTTAATCTCCGAAGCTTTTTCCTTTTATTTTTACCAAGATTAGAGTCGCCAATCTTTTTAAATTTGGGTGCAGGTAAAATAGTTTTTTGAACATCTTGTTTTGGAGTATCTGAGCCTGATATAAGGTCTGCTAAGCAACCGATTTTGTACTCCATGTCTACAAAGAAGTGTTTTATGATAAATTTGAGGTTATAAATTTATAAAACTAGTATATACCATTTCTTATTTACCTTAGTTATATATTAATTACACTACAATCACAAAATTTACTTAATTTACGAAAATGTAACATTAATGTAAACAAACACGTGTTATATATAAATAAAATCAAGAATGTAAAATTCGCAGCATGTTTCGTTTACCAAAAGCGACACGCACGCTTGCAGCGGAATTAAAGTGTACTAGTCAGCGAAGACGTAAACCTAAACATGTGTTAGGTAAAACCATAAATCAGAGCTTCTTAAACTATAGGTCGCGACTCCAAATGGGGTCGCGGGCAAAAATTCTGGGGTCATGAGTGGTTTTAATATCAAATATTTATATATTTATCTCGTTTTATAACATCACGTCTTGATTTTTGTATGTTCTCAACGAATTCTTAAACTACATATATACTTTAATATATATTAAAGTACATATATGTATGTACGTATATTGTTACCAAATATATAAAATATTTAAAAATATTAATTTTATTATTTTATATTTGTGGGGTCATCACACAAACTAGCAGTCATAAATGGGGTCGCCAAGAAACTCGCAATCGTAAATGGTGTCCCGAAGGACAAAATTTTAAGAAGCCCTGCCATTAATAAATAAGCATAAAACCTAAATTTTCTACCATGCTTGTTCATTTATGGTTCCTACCGTTCCTGCTTATAATTTTTAAATATAAAGCTTATAAATCTGATTTTAAAATACTTTATAAAACATCATATAATACACAAAAAATCTGAGAGTAAACATAATTATTAGCTCTACTATCATATAATTATTTATATTTATAAAAGATAAATATTAATAATCATTTTAATTATATCTTTCTACGATGTTGATACCATAAACGCAGTTATGTTAACAATGCAACAATATTATTGTATATGATTAAGAACTCGCATATTTTAGGTGTTGATTTTTTAACTCCCTGAATAAGATCATGTTTATGTTTTCGCCAGAAATTCCAATTTGCAAATGTTATGATTTTTTGTCAATCAGAATAGTTTGACACCAAAGTGAAAAAAGTAGGTATTTGTGTTTGAATGTACCGGAGCCAAAATTTGAAATTTATCGACGTTTTCTCAAAAACGGTTGCATTGATTTTAAAAGTTTAAAAGACATATTCGATGAAACTTGATAAGTACTTGCTTTTATTAGTATTTCGCTATGATCAGTCGAGCGGTTTCTTTAGAATTAACAGAAAAGTGCATTCATTCACGCTTGAACTAAAAATCTTGCACCAATTTTAAATTTTCAAGATCTAATTGATAAATCAGTTCGAAATGGTTGCATTGAACCATTTGGTGATTGATTATAGAGCTTGCCCTTAACGATCAACCAAAGCATTATAGATCTATGAAAAGTGGTTTAATTATAGAAATTCGTCTAAGTTTGAGACAATGGTCCGTGTCAAAATTTAAAACTTCTGTATCGCCACTAAAAGTGGCTAAATCTCAATTTTATTGGTCAAGTCAATTATTATTTACAATTGCCCTAAAGAAAAATGCCACTTACTTACAACTAGTTAACTTGTCATTTTAACACTTTAATTACCTTTACTATACAAAATTTTCATTTGCGTGTACATATTATCATACATTATCTAATTGTTAATATACATAAATATTTGCAGTACTCTTAACATACGCTTTGAATTTATACATTATTAATCTTGCTTTTTTTTCAAAGCATTAACATAAACGAAATATTTCTCTTATGTAATACTTGTATAACACTAATAAATATATGAATTTTTATAAAAATAAATAGCTTTTCATTTTATTTTATTTTTTTATGATTTTATTTTATTTTTTTATGATATAATATAATGATGTTATCTTGATAGACTTTACTGCAGTATACAAGATATATTTATAAGTTCAGAATTTTTAACTATACCACGGTTTAATATCCATTTATGATAAAATATTTAGTAAATTAGTGGTGAATGGCATGGTGCCTTAAGGCAAATTGCTGGAACTTCGCGTACTGTAATAAAATATTCGAAGAATATTAAATGTTTTCAAATATATCATTATAAATAAAATACTGTAGCTTTCATTATTCGTGTGTTATAGACAAAATATAATAGCTTATAAATTGGACGATGATGTTCATATAAGTTTACATGAAAAGTAAATATTCCAAATTTAGTAATCCCCTTCAAAAACGGGTTGAAATGACAAATCTTGTCTAAGAATTATTTAAACTGAGTTGCAAAGTTAAAATTATTTATTTCAAGTATTTTAGATAGAAATTAAAATTAAAATCCAAATTATTTTCGTTATTAAAAAAATTGTAAATTAAAAAAATTGAGATTTTGAAATATTTTTTTTTATTTTTTCCAAAATTGATCGTTTCGTCAACACAAGCAAAAAGTTTTTTGAATCATTCAAACCGGATGGTTCGTTCTCTCTTCTTCGACATTTTTTACACATTTAGCTCTATATCTTTGAAACGGCTAGACCTGTCCTTGCCAAAAACTAATCACCACTTTTCCTCATCATTACGAATTGAATGTTTTTGAATCATTCCAATCGGATGCTCGGATCTCGTGAAAACCGAGTTTCCATTTTCTGCACTATTTGCTTAGAATCTCGAAAACGGCTGGACCCACCTTTCCCAAAACCTAAGCAGCACTAATCTCCATTAGTAGAAATCGATTGCTTTTTCAATCACTCAAATCGGTTGAGCGGTACTCCCGAAAACGTCGACGAAAAATTGTATCTACACATACAAACACATATCCATTTTTTCTGAGGTATACCAAAATGTTCAGAAGTCTCTGAAACGTGAAGATATGCAAAAATTTGTATTTTAGATTTTTGGTCCAATACTGTAACTTACCCTACGGGAAGTTAAAAATAAATCAAATCAAATATAAATTAATAAATCTATTGTTGTTTCTTTGCATTTTTTATCTGAACAATCACGTGGAATGTGATTTAAAAATGCGCCCATTAACTATATCTTTTTAACAGCAATTAAAACTTGAACTGTAGTGCTGACTGGCATTTTACAAATGACAACTCATCCTGGTTGTCCTATCTCTATGCGATTATTATAATTTCTGGAATACTAATCATTTTTTTGTATCCTTTTGAAACCATAATTTGTTTTCAAATTTTTTATCATTTTTTAACTGTACACAGTCATGTTTTGATCTTTACACTCCAGAATGTACACAGAGATAACCTTGAACAGATGATTCTCAGTTTTGTATATGAAACGTGCTATGTATATATCACATCAAACAATAAAATCAGTATTTGCCGCAGATTGAATCCAATCATTCAGTTACCAATAAACTTCAGCCATGGCAGGAGGTATGTGAAAAAATAAATATAAAATGAAATATTTGTTTAAAAATGTTTGTTATTGCTTGAGCTGATTTATATGATATTTTGTAAAATAGTTTGATTCTTTTAAAGAATGTTGCACAAATGGACCGGGATACGCCTCACCCTTAGAGGCTATGAAAGGGCCCAAGGAAAAATTATTATATGTAGTTTGTGTTCAACCAAATAAAGATCATGAACAAGGTGACTATTTGGCTACTATAGATGTGGACCCAGAGAGCCAAACTTATCAACAGGTATTTTGAACCAAAAATTTATATATATATATATATATATATATATATATGTGTGTGTGTGTGTGTGTGTTTGAGTGTGTGCGCACGTATATTTAGCAGCAGCTGATAAAAATTTAATTAAAAACCATATCATTTTATTTGTAAATATATTTATTAAAAATGTGAAAACAGAAGTTTAAAATTTGCTGTTTATATGAAGTAAGCAGATAATAAATCTATTATTTGCCTAACAAATTTTTGGTTGATTAGATATTGATAACTATTTCTGCATGCAATTATTTGGATACATGTGTTTGTATATATATATATATATATATATATATATATATAGTATTATTTTTGGAAATATGAACACATTGCACTATTTAACAAAAATATTAAATTTCCAAATCTTTCGAGACTTTGGATTGTCTAAACATTCTCTCAGTTTTAAATAATGAAATGTTTGTGCAATTTATGATCATATTTAAATAAAATCCTTTATATATTACTCTAGATGAGAGAAAACAAACCCATTGATAATTTAATAATTTAGTCTAGTTTAAGACTCGAAATATTTGCAAATTTAATAGACACATTACATTCACTAAATTGTTTTTGATGTTGGGGATGCCTGAACGAATTTTATTATATATCTTTCATTATTCGAAAAACCATTATATATATATATATATATATATATATATATATATGAATTTATAAATTTCTAAAAACTCTCATACTATATTTTATAGATATATTGCCCAATTTTTAAACTCAAATAAAATATATCAACATCAAATTCAGAACTATACAATGTATATATATATATATATATATATATATATATATATATTAATAAATATTTTTCCACTAGTGAGAATATTATGTGTATCTTATGAGTCAATATCCTACATATTTTTTTAATGCTTTGCTCTATATTCGAAAACTATAAAAGGTTTACCTAATTCTATTAATACGAATTAATAACAGTATAAAATATAATAATGAGATCATCTCCTGGCATAAATAAGTTAATTACCTTAAAAATATAAAAACTTTCATTCCAAAAAATCATAATTTAAATAATCGATAAATATTTTTAATTTATAAACTAAGATTGCTATATATTATTAATGAAGATTGAAGTTATATAGTTCACTTATTATATAAATATTTCATCTTCATATTATGAATACGTCAATATCACTTAAAAATACAAATATCAAAATACAAATCACACAAGTACCGTTACGATACTAAATCTTTAAATTTTTTATTTAAATAAAATAATAAATAACATTAATACAACCTGTTACTTTCCTCTACACGTTCTATGCTGTTCTGGCTCCTAGTTTGCTCAATACTCTTAAACCTTGATCATTATACTCTTGTCGAGACATCCAAAAACTATCTCGGTCTTTCATCACTTCTGCTAAAACTGCACCTCCTATAAACACCATATCCTTTCGTCTTGGTGGATCTTCAATACGAATTTTAAATTTGGCTAACTTATCAATATCATTCTTTAATACTCTTTCTAAGTATAATTGTTTGATCTCCCTTTCCAAGCGACTTGGTAAACCTGGAAACATTGTAGAACCCCCCGATAAGACTATATGCTTGTATAATTCAGTTCTCATATCTATTTCAGCTGATTGTATTGTATTGAAAACCAGTTCAGCTATTCCTTGGCCTTCAATATTTATTAAATGAGGTTGAAATAAAGCTTCAGGTGCTTCAAATCTTTCACCTCCTACTTTAATAATTCTTCCATCTGGCAAAACATAGGGTTCGACAAGCACTGTGGTTTCTAAAGCAAGTTTTTGTTCTTGCTCTATATCATAACCAATATAACAAAGTTTTTCTTTTACCATTCTTATGGTTTCAAAGTCTGCTGAATGGTTAAATGCATATCCTCGTAAAAGTAATAATTTTATTAAATACCTAGTAATATCACGTCCTGCTATGTCTAATCTTCTTGTTAAGTGCGGCAAAGCAAATTCTTCGTATACTGGACATATATGAGTTACACCATCACCTGAATCGACTACCACTCCACTAAGCAGTCCTTGTGCATAAAGTGTTAAAACTGCTTGTATTGCAATGTATGCTGAATCAAAACCATATTTCTCAAACATTACTTCAATCATTTTCTCACGATTTTTCAATGGATTCATTGGTGGTTCTGTTAACAAAATTTTTGTATTACTCGGATCTAAATTCATCTTCTGTTTGCCAAAAGTGTAGTCCCAAACATGACACATATCATCCCAATTTCGGACTACCCCGTTTTCCATGGGGTAGCTTACTTCTAAACAAGATCTCTGTGCAGAAGCTTCATCACCTATCATTAAATCTTTGATTTCGATATCGCCAATTTTACTGTCAGCCCTTATAATAGGTCGTCCAATTAAAGAAGGGAAAATGTAAGCTGGAAAATTACCCCCGGCATAACCGCATTTAACAAATCCGGTGCCATTGTCACATACAATTACACTTCGGCCTTTGCTGTCCATATTTGTATTGTTTTATTATATCAGTAAATACGGAATTAGCGGCTTTGAAATAGTTTAAAATGAATCAAGAATTTGGAACCATTTTATATGTTATTTGAGGTTATGGACCCACGGATTGTCAACAACATTGTCAACTGTCAAATTACACCGGCAAATAATAATATTGATGCCAACATATGAAAGGACTCGTATATGTATTAAAGTGTATATTTGTTGATTTATATTTCGATTTGATTGTATATCTATTATAATATAATATTATCTAGTATATTTTTGTTATTATTGTATTATTACAAATCATAATACGATTGTAATACCAAATTTAGTTTCAAATACCCGATTACTAAAGTTCATTAATTTTCATTTCAAATTTTGCGCCATTAATTTGAATGCCAAAAGCAGCGCCCTCACGTCTGCCAACTTCTCTTTCGGCGGCAACTTCATGCTGGCCGAATTGTTAGCAAGTGTCAAATTATTATCATATTTTAATGGGCCTTGAAGAAGATACTTTCTGACTTAAAATTTTCTCAACAGCTTTAAATTTAAATTACTAAATATTCTTTGCTACTGGCTATACATTTAATAACATATCATCTGATTATCGCATTGACGACAGCGATGATGTGAGAACATGAATAAATTTATTCATAACGCTTAAGCGTTTTTATTTGTAACATAACAGCACTTAATTATGTTTAATACTTTCAATAAGCAAATAAACAGTCTCTTCATAACCATAAATAAAAGGCTTTAATTATGAAAAATATAACAGAACATCGCTGTTCTCATATTTATGTTTCCCATACAGCTAATATTTGACCACAGTTATAAACCGTTTGACCGCTACGCGGCGCTGTCGCGCTTTTATATTTTACTCCTAAACTACGCAGCGCTGTCGCGCTGTCACTTCAGTTCGAGTTAGTCAGTCTGCATGGGAGGTCGTTTGCGCTCATGCGTTTTTTTTAATTAAAAGTATACTTTCTCAATAAAAAATACTATAAATCAGTTTTATCTTTGAAAATATTTTTTTTATAATTTTTGTACGCATTAAAATACGTCACCATGTCGAGTGATGATAATATTTCGGATACTGAATTGAGTTCAAATTACACATCGGAGGATGAATTATTGGATACAGTTGATGTAAGCACCTTCTTATCTATTAATATGGATGCAAGTAGTGATGACGAAAGTGCAATAGATCAAAAAAGAAAAAGATTGAGAAGGGATAGTGAATTGTCTTCTTCTTCAGAAACTGAAGATTCAACATTTACACCCATTGCACCAACAAAAACATTTTCGAAGGCGACAGATGACTTTTCGGAAACACCTGGGCCAAGGCGCGCTCCTCCATCAAATGCCAGTCCCATTGATTACTTTAATTTATTTTTCACACCATCACTTCTCGAAAGCATTGTTATAGAAACCAATAGATATGCTTCGCAGTTCATACAATCGCACGATCTTTCGGATAATTCACGAATCAAGAAGTGGACGGAAACTAATGTTCAAGAAATAAGAGCTTTTATAGCAGTTTTGCTAGAAATGGGAATAACGAAAAAACCAACTATGTACTGTTATTGGAGACAGAATTCCAGAGTAATACCATGGTTTGGAAAAATGTTTGCCAGGGACAGATTTCTGTTGTTGCTCAAATTTTTCCATTTGGTAGACAATCAATTACTAGTTGCGCCAGGACATCCGGATTATGATCCTTGTGCAAGATTTGAAATGCTTGTAAAACACGCAAATACAGTTTTTCACAAGCATTACGTACCATATAAACAATTATATATTGATGAATCATTAATTGGTACACACTGCCATTCATCAATAAAGCAGTATCTTCCTAATAAATTACACCACAAATTGGGAATGAATTTCTGGATGCTATGCGACTCAATTACAAAATACTGCCTGGGATTTTATTGTTATAAAGGCGCCAATAATGAAGAAGACAGGAATTTGGTTAAAAAAAACGGACTTGGATTTTTAGTAGTTGAACATTTATTGGAAAATTATCTAGACAAGGGTTATCATTTATTTACGGATAACTTTTACACAAGTTTACATTTAGCTAAATCACTTTTAAAAAGAAAAACCTACCTCACGGGGACAATCCATCCAAACATGAAGGAAATTCTCGCAGAAGCTAAAAAAGCTGAGGCAGGTGTGCCAAAATATTTTGCTAATCAAAATATCTTGATGTGTTCATTCAAAGATAAAAAAACAAAGCCCCGTCCAGCTATTTTGATTTCCTCCAATGCAAATTCTAACAGTGTTAGAATAATAGAAAAGAAAGGCAATTTCGAATATACAAAAGAAACACCGAGTATGATTCACGACTACAAAATATATATGAGAAAGGTAAACGAAGGAGATGAATCTGACAAAATGTTATATGCGAACTTAGATGAGCGAAGAACTTGCAAATTATGGAAGAAGGTGGTTTTCAACATTTTTGGAAGAATGGTGTTGAATGGCTATATCTTATACAAATCTAACACCACAGAAAAAACAATGCCTCGGCTCAAATTCACATCCGCTATTATTGGACAAATCGAGGAAGAATGGATGACCTTCAGAAATATGGAAATTGAAGAATCAACTCCGATGCCAAGCTTTGGGTTAGAAAAACTGCCTGGACGCAATTTACGCCAGTGTGCGGTCTGCAGTAGTAGAAAATATGGAATAAAACGTTCTAACCTTATCTGCTGCCGTTGCAAGAAGGGGCTACATGGACTTTGCGCAGGAAAACATAAATGTTAAACTTTTTTTTTGTTTTATTAGCTTTAATTTTTTTGTTATTCAACAATTGTTTGCATTAATTCTTTATATACAAAATGTTAAAAGAAATACGTTTATCGATGTATTATTGAAGAAAATATAATTTTTAAAAAATAGTTGTTTTTTTATTTTTCAACAGCGATGAATGTTTCCAAGTATTCCCAAATTGTCTATATTAATTTTAGAATGGATTAGAAATCTATGAAGTTTTGCACACATTTTAATATAATACATGTACATTTTTAATAAAATTTGTGTTAGTAATTTATATAGAACTTTGGTTTTGCTATAAGCATATACCACTCTTCTTACTAAAGATTTTCAGAATCGAGCGACTTTTGATAATAATCAAATTATGCATCCGTTTAATCATTTAGTATTTAGGTTAACCAATGGGTATTAATTATTAACCATATTGTTATTGGGTATTAGTTAATACTGGTATCCTTACTGACGTCGGCTGCGGTTATATATAATATTAAAGTCGTCGTGTATGATTTTATTACAAAAAATCTTAATGAACCTTTATGATACAACTCCTACAAAGAATTCTTAATTATTTAAATTGCATGCTGGATAAGGCCAACCAACGTTTATATTACTACAATACCCTCAGAGTTGAGTGCTATAAACTATTCCATATTGGTTTAATTATGGTCTTATATAATAATAATAAATAGTAGTCTGACCGAACGCAAGTCAATGATATGAGAGCACCACAAAATCAATGATTTTCTTCCCCTCCCTTATTTTTTATTCTCATTACCGTTTTATTATTAGCAATTGATGACCAATAATGACTTTATATTCGTTTCTATGAATTTTTCTTCCTGATCCTGTGATTTGGCTTTCAGTTCTCTGTATTTCCTCTTCTCGCGTAAGCCATCAATCGCCTACATTCTTCTTCTTCCTATTTCTTTCAGTCCTTCTATTTTGCCTTTAATGACGTCGTGAAGGAGGCACTCTTTTTACAGAATGGGTCCGATCCAGTTTCCTTTTTTTTCAGGATCGTGCTCAGTAGAGTCCTTTCTTCGCCCACTCTTCTTAGGACTTCGTCATTTGTTATCTTGTCAGTCCACTTTATTTTCTCCATTCACCTCCAGCACCACATTTCAAAACACTACATATAGTTCTTGTCGGCTTTTCTTAGAGTTCATGTCTCTGATCCGTACAGAGCTATGCTCCAGGCATAACAATTTATCAGTCTTTTCCGCAAGCCGAGACTAATAATAAATTTGCTCGTCAGTAGTGTTCTCTTCTTCGTGCAATGATCTTATACATTAGTATTTTATTATCAGAAAATAATTTAGAATTTTGAGCAAAGAGCTAATTTAAGAATTTCAAATTAAGCTTGATTCGCTAATTTAGTTGCTCGAGCCGAACAATAATATGGGTAGAATTAGAACGGACTGATATGATTTTTTAAGTGAATTAGATCTGCATATATGGGTAGAATTAGAAAGGACTTGATATGATTTTAAAGTAAATATGAGCCGTGAAGTCACGACCTCTATATGCAGCTGTAAAGAGTTTTATTTACATACATGTGTGATGATAATTAATTAAAGATTTCATTGAAAAAGCTTCATTACTTTTGAGCCATATAAATGTTCAGTGAAGTTGATAAATAAAGAGGCTCAATAGGCAACTAATCAACCTAATAAAAAATTATGCAAACTTCAATATTTGCGCTATAAAACGAATATTGACAATTGCCAATAAAAGAACTTAATAATTTCTATTAAGTTAATTAAAAGTAATTTATATTAAAAATACACGAAGTTAATAATTTATATTAATTTATGTCTCCTATAGGTAATACACCGCACTTTCACAAATAACAAAGATGATGAGTTGCACCACAGTGGATGGAACATATGTTCTAGTTGCCATACCGGATCCTTGAAAAATGGTGTTCGAGACAAACTCATTTTGCCATGTTTACATTCCAATAATATCTATATTGTTGATACGGGTAAAAATCCAAGAAAGCCTGAAATCGTTAAAGTAAGAACTTTACAAATTTAGCAGAATTTGCTTTGCACAAATCAATTATAAAAGTTTTATGTACCCTAGGTTGTAGAAGGAAAATCAATGCTTAAACATGATGTTAGTACACCTCATACGACTCATTGCCTTGCTTCTGGAGAAGTTATGATTTCTACATTAGGAGACAGAAATGACGGAAATAAAGGAGATTTCTTTTTGTTAGATGGCAAAACGTTTGATGTTAAAGGTAGTTTCAATTATATCTCTTTTGAAAGCTGGTTAAAACTAATTTTTCAATTATTATGCAGGAACTTGGACTAAAGGCGAGAAAAAAGCGTCGTTTGGATATGATTTTTGGTATCAACCTTATTGGGATACAATGGTTTCTACTGAATGGGGTACTCCAAAAGTGTTCAAAAGGTAATAAATTCATTTTGAATTTGTAAACATTTGCCAAGACTGATTTTACCAAAACTACCAGACCAATGCTAAATCATTTGTTTTGACTTACAAAGTTATGCTTCTTCTCAAGCTTTGAGCATTTTTAGACCGCTGTATTTAGCTATAAGTCTATCAATATGAATAATATATTGTTATTGAAAATTATTTTTAATGTTACTGATCTGCAACTATAAAAATAAAAATTAGCAACAAAAGTTATAGAGCCAAATGTGTAAATAGTGTGGAGTTTGCTTCATATTTGCAAAAACATTCGTCATCAAAGAGTAAATGTTCAAATTCCATCCCAACATATTGCTAAAAAAATGTGGCATCAATCATTCATTTACAACAAGTTTTAATATAGAATTCGAAAACATTTATCTTTTAGGGGATTTAGAAAAGAAGATCCTGGAAACCCTATGGTGTACGGAACCAGTTTAAATATATATTCATGGTCAGAAAGAAAACTAAAACAAGTAATTAATCTTGGCACAGAAGGAACAGCACCATTAGAAGTGAGATTTCTACATAATCCTAAAGCTGATGAAGGATTTGTAGGATGCGCCATTTACTCAAATGTGTATAGATTCTTTAGAAAGTCTGACAATACATGGGGTACTGAGAAAGTGATTAGCATACCACCTAAAAAAGTTGAGGGATGGGTTGCTCCCGTTATAACTGGTACGTGAATTTATTATTCCTAAAGTGCCTTAGAGAATTTTTCTTGATCTTTAAACTCGAGTTTACAATACACTAATTTCGAACTTAAATTATTTGGCAAATCACCTTATAATATAAATTTTCTTTTAATTTTTGTACTGCAAATTGTAAACCAATACTTACAAGACAAGTTTGATGTATTTTTTAATTTTTTGTGAACATCAATGATTTATGTAGAAATTCAAAGTAGTATGAGTTGATTGTGGACATGTAGATGAAAACGTGGTACAAAATTAATTAAATTACTAAATTTAAGAGATTAATAGGAATTATAAAATATAAATAAAATCATAAAATATTACACTTCTTTCAGGTATCATATCAGATATTTTAATTTCACTCGATGATAAATATCTATACATTAACAACTGGCTCCAAGGAGATGTCCGCCAATATGATATTACAGACACAAGAAATCCGAAATTAACTGGCAAAGTTCAGCTTGGAGGAGTTATTGTTAAAGGATCAGGTGTTAAGCTTATTGATGATGAAGAATTTCCTGTGAGTTTTTATTTTTTATTTTTCATTTTTTCATTTCATTTTTTCATTTCATTTTTTCAATATGATTATGAGTAATAAAATATTCATATTTCCATATTTAAATTTGTTCCAATTTTTAATGTAAACCATTCAAACAGAAACAATAGTAAGATCAAATGTTTCAATTTCTGTAAAGTATCTGAATGTACTGTATGTATAGTTTGCTATGAACAATAAATCGAAAAAAATGTTTCAATTTAAATATGAATTAAAGATGAAAATTAATTTTTAACTTATTTTATTAAAGGAACAGCCTGAGCCTACGATAGTAAAAGGCCGGCGCCTATTCGGAGGACCACAAATGCTCCAACTTTCTTTAGATGGCAAAAGATTGTATGTCAGTACAAGTTTATACTCGATTTGGGATAAACAATTTTATCCTGAAATGGTTAAGAATGGTGGCACCATGGTGAAAATAGATTGTTTGGAAGGAGGTGGCATGAAATTGGATGAAAACTTCTTGGTTGATTTTGGAAAAGAACCTAACGGTCCGGTTTTGGCGCATGAAATGAGGTCAGATATTAATATCTAGATTTTTTGGAAATTTAATTATATGAAGAAATAACTTTATTTAACATTTTTGTTATATATTGTAGGTATCCTGGGGGAGATTGCACTTCCGACATTTGGTTAGCTAAAGATTAAGGACCAAATAAAGCTAAATTTTAATATTGCTAAATATTCTTATCTAATTTGCAATATATTTTTGTATTAAATATATATTATTATATTTTGAATTTTGTAATGAGATTTGCTAAAATATAGAAAATATCTATATAAAATTAGTTTTATTTATTAATGCATGCAAATTTAAAACACTGAAACCGTTTTCGTTATGGGTAGTTAGCATTTTTCGCGAGCATAGTGATATGAAGTTACATTTCATCTCGATACAATTTTTGCAGATTTGATTAATTATTAACTATAACACAAATAAATATTTATATTATTACAGTTGCAATAAATAATTACTCTAGTTTTAGCATTAACTACTTCACATCAAAATACAAAAGATTTTATACGAAAAAGAATTACACAGAAATGTATCTACCCACGAACTAATTTATTCGGTTAAGAATGATGTTAAAATTCAGTAGATATTGTTAGAAAACGTAAATTATTTTATGCAAATCTTTTTACTAGTCCAGTCATTTAAGCTTAAATGAGCTTAAATTAATCTCAAGAATTAGTAAGAATCTCAGAATTCGAGATACCCAGCTGTAAGTCTGTAAATACTTGTATATTGGCACCCTAAAGTTGTCTCAAAACCTACATATGATAGGGTGTTAATACTATATGTAGGTTTTGAGACAACTTTAGGGTGTCAATATACAAGTATTTACAGACATAGCTTGATATTTCGAATTTCGAGGTGAACTTACTATAATTATATGAAGAGATTTTGCAGATTAAAATCTAATAGATTAAAAATATAAACTTTTCCACAGAAAGTTAAAAACGCTAAAGTAAATTAAAATTTTTTATTCATATTGTTTATCATAACTAAATTTTCATTACTATAACATTAAAATATGCAAAATTACAAATGTTTTTATATTGCCAGAATTAAATTGAAAAAAAAACGTATCATTGCATAAGTATATAACGACAAATTGAGCAAGAACGTTCGCAAGCAGTCGTGGCCGAGCGGTTAAGGCGTCTGACTAGAAATCAGATTCCCTCTGGGAGCGTAGGTTCGAATCCTACCGACTGCGAACATTTTTTTCTTATTTTTACATAAAATTATTATTCAAATACAGATAAAAACTATATTTTAGCTTTTACAAATACGCATGTATGTCATTCATTTATTTTGTTATAATATTTTTTTAATTATAACGTTTAATATGTATTTTTAATTTTAGCGCTGCATAACCTTATTTTATAACCCGTTGTTCGACGTATATGTGCGCTTGTAACATAGAGTAGTACCAGGGGGCGTAGCTCAAGTGGTAGAGCGCTCGCTTAGCATGTGAGAGGTACCGGGATCGATACCCGGCGCTTCCAAATAATATTTTTACATTTTTATTTAATTTTTATTATAAAGTTTTTTCAACTAATACTTCTTTTCAAAAAAAATACTATTTTTAATGTGAAATCATTCAAAGAGTAGCATTAGTCTCATTGTTAGCAATTTGAGAAAGACTATAATTTATTTTAATTAATATTTAATTAATTAAATGTATATAGATATACACAATGCTGTTCTGTATGTATTGATCATTATGATAAATTTTGATAGATTAGGTAATATATTAGGTTTATGACAAAATTGAACAGTTAAGATAACAAATGAAGAAGTATTGAGAAGGGTAGGCGAAAAAGAACTCTACTTAGTACAATCATTAAAAGGTAAGGAAACATGATTAGACTCATTCTGCAAAAGAAGTGCCTTCTACAGGGCTTTGTCGAGGGTAAAATAGAAAAACTAAAAGGACTGGGAAGAAGAAGAATGCAGATGATTGATAACTTAGGCGAGAGGAGAAAATATAGAGAACTGAAAGCCGAAGCACTAGACCAGGAAGCAAGGAAGCAGAAGTTTGAAAAGAAATGCATAAAAATTGATTAATGATCATTAATTAATGGCAATGGGAATAATAAACAAGGGAGGGGAAAGGAAATCATTGATTTTTGGTGCTTTCATACCATGGACCTGCCTTTCAGGCAATAAATTTATTATTGTTATTATAATAAAGTTTGTACTACCCGAAATATTTTTTCCTATTCGAAGCTACTAATAATAGCGACTATTGAAAACTATTATGTAATAAGCAATAAATTAGATTTTAGTGTTAAGTTAAGTATACCAGACTTATTATCAAAAACACTTAGTGATTATTTTAGTATAGCAGATTCAATATTAATAAAGGGTCCGCCATATAACTTTTTTTTATTCGTAGCAATTTAGAATTTTTTGACAGCCATTTAAAAGTGAGACAGCCATTTCAATGAAATTATTTTCGATTATTAACCAAGGATTGCACTTTCAAATAGGAAAAATTCAGATTGAGAAAATATTCAGTAGTTTATATATAGAATTTAAAAAAAAAAAAAAAAGTTATCTGACGGACCCTATGTCTAACAATAAGTCTTTAATTCGATCTCTTTAGGTATAGGTAAAAAAGTGTAGTTACTGACAAGCGATGATGAGTAATTATTGAACCGCCAAAAAGTTGAATCAAATATTCCTTTAAAATAAAATAAAATTAGTTAATAATTCAAAATCAAATTTAAGTTATGTGTTATTTTATGAGTGGCTTATTGTATTCTTATTGATTGAATTCCAACATGTGACAGAAAATAAGACATTTAATTTTAGCAACTCATATTTTGAAATTAATCTGTAATAACTGCTCTTGCACAGTTCTTTGTCACCTATATTGTTCTATATCAATTATAATAGAACTTCATAGGCTTTTAAACACTAATTTTTTTTTTTCTTTGCTTTATAACACTAAAATTATAGTTTCGAACGCTTGTTAAATATAACTAAACAAATTGATAGTATGTAAATTAAAAAAAATATTGGTTTATTTATTGACATATGTGAATATAAGTGATTCAATCAAAACTACCGGTTTTGTTATTCAATAATAAATATCAACATTATTTTGATAAGGATATTGATATTCAATTTCACTAATTATTTTTCTCACGCATTCATTTATAATAAGAGCGTGGTTATCGCGAGTTGGAAGTTGCAACCCGGTTGTATTTAATATTTCGAGTATATATCGGCGTGTTCTCGCGCGAGAAGGGAACGGTGAACAGAGATTTGACAGAGTGCCGTGCTGTACGAGAAACGGGCGTCCAGCTTCTGCGACTGATTGCCTTCGCGCTCATGGTATCTTAAACTACGGTTATGAAAATGATAAATTTATAAACCAGTAATTTTAATAATGGTATATTGACTAGTGCTCCTTGAAACAAATTGCCGAAGCTCTTCATTTTCCAATCTAATGTTATAAACAATCCATCAATAATCAATATTATCAATCGAAAAGAAAATATTTGAAATTTCATATAAATTTTTATAAAGTTATTGTCTAACAGTTTAACTTCAAAGTACTTAAGATTTAACAAAATTTCATTTCTTATCGATTTCATTAAAAATCCTTCATAAATCAATCTTATTTTTTTATTTTATTATTTGACTGAATTAATTATTTTAATTTTATTTTTTATATACACTTTGTTTGCTTTTGCTAATAATAATATAAATATAATAAAAAATGTGTTGCATCGTTATATACTTATATATACAGATTATTAGTGCTAGTTCTATTTTAGTAATAGGATAGAAAATTTTAGACACTTTCTACTCGTTGGGCTCTAAATTGTAAATATTATTATTTTTTTGTTTAACTTCATTCTGCAATCTGTTTATATAAAACAATAAGTTGAGAACTGCTAACAAGTTTCATAAAAAATACAATATTGATTAAAAATCAATGGATTTATACGACGGCCTACTTTAGGAATAAAATATTACTACTATAATATAATTTTTTAGACCTTCAATTCGATAATTTGCATTAATTCTCAAAGATACTAAAAGATTTACTGTTAAGATAGATTATAAATTAATAAAAGTAAACAAGTTATAAAAAAAAATTAGTAAGTGAATAGGTAAAGCTAGCTAAAACAAATAAATTAGAAATAAATTCTTCAAAAATTATGTTTTTGTTGATGTTACAAATTATCAATAGATTGGTAAGGCATATGCCGGAAACATATTCAAGAAATAGTATATTGAGAATATAATAAATGTGATCTTAAATGTTTTATTTCACTTTTTTGTATAAATTTTATTGGTTATAATAGTTCTGAAATTTATTTAGGATAAATTTAATTGTCACGCATATTTTTCATATTTGCATGAGAAGCTAACTTCTATTTCTACAAAACATTTGTAGACAAATGACGCTATTTATTCATTAACACATTTTCTGAATAACTAAACTTCAAATTTGAAAATTCGCTGACAAAATTGGTTTATATAAAAAGTAAAATAATACAAAAACATATTTGTTACTGATAATGTTTAATGCAAGGCAGATTATAATTTATATTTAAAATAAAAAAGAGCTTTATATTGTGCACAAATTTCCCGATCATGTATACACAACAATAGCAAAATTTTCAGAAATCACAATAAAAACGAAAAGTCTTGAATTATTTTTAATACTTATAGTACAAAACCGTGCTATTCAAAAATACTAATTCATTTTTGAATAGAGAACAATTTTGTTACAGAATTGATATGAGATAATAATATCAAAGAAAAGCAAATAGGACTAATTAGGAGGAAAGTATAATTAAGAGAGAGAATTATAGCATTCTAGATTCTACCCCTATGAAATAATGCTTAACGGCGGTTTCCGTGAAGACAAGAAGCAAGAGATAAGCAGAGATCCAATAAAAAAGTAAAATAACAAAAAATTCCATGCTTCCCTAATTAAACTTTTTAAAGAATTAGCTTTTTATGACATTACTGAATTTTCTCAATTTGATTTCAATAACTATTTTTTTGCATAATCCTTATCCCTTACCTGTAGTCTGACCATTTGATCGCCTGTACAACCATGTTTTTTTCATTGCTATTTTATTAATTTAAATTTTCACGGTTAAATGAGTAAAACTTTCAATCT